CAGCATCAGGCCCTGCTTTCCTTACGGCATCAGCTTCATTATCTCCAGCATCAGGCCCTGCTTTCCTTACGGCATCAGCTTCATTATCTCCAGTGTCAGGCCCTGCCTTCCTCACGGCGTCAGCTTCATTAATTCCGGTGTCAGGCCTTGCCGCCTCCACGCCATCAGCTTCATTAGCTGCAGTGTCAGGCCCTGCCTTCCTCACAGCATCAGCTTCATTATCTCCAGGGTGTGAGGCCCTGGTCAGGCCCTGGTATCCTCGTGGCATCAGCTTCATTAGCTCCAGTGTAAGGCCCTGCTGTTCTTGTGGTGTCAGCTTCGTTAGCTCCAGTGTCAGGCCCTGCCTTCCTCACGGCGTCAGCTTCACTTTCTCCAGCATCAGGCCCTGCTTTCCTCACGGCATCAGCTTCATTATCTCCAGCGTCAGGCCCTGCCTTCCTGACAGCGTCAGCTTCATTATCTCCAGCGTCAGGCTCTTGCATCAGCTTCATTATCTCCAGTGTCAGGCCCTGCCTTCCTCACGGCGTCAGCTTCATTAATTCCAGTGTCAGGCCTTGCCTCCTTTACGCCATCAGCTTCATTAGTTCCAGTGTCAGGCCTTGCCTCCTTTACGCCATAAGCTTCATTAGTTCCAGTGTCAGGCCTTGCCTTCCTCACAGCATCAGCTTCATTATCTCCAGGGCGTGAGGCCCTGGTCAGGCCCTGATATCCTCGTGACATCAGCTTCGTTAGCTCCAGTGTCAGGCCCTGCCTTCCTCACGGCGTCAGTTTCACTTTCTCCAGCATCAGGCCCTGGTATCCTTGTGGCATCAGCTTCGTTAGCTCCAGTGTCTCCCTTATGGTGACCTCTAGCATGAGGAAGACTAAGGCTCAAAAAGGACACCCATGAGAAATTTTTGAGTGGGTGGGGGGGCTATATTATGCATATACTACGGAGGCTAAGAACAGTATATGGATTAAGGAAATTGTGTCATCTTGAGAGGAAGGCATAAAAACATAATTGCTAACACAGCTATTCCCAACTTCCGTAGTGTGTCTGTGCATGTGTTTAACGTTTTTGTGCAACTGGGGGTGGAGGAGAGTGGTGCTAGTTGTTGACGGGGGGCAGGTAGGGGAAAGAGAAAGGGAGGACAAGGGGGCTACAAAGCGGACACTCATCAACAGTCTGGAGAGAGAGCTGAAACAGCCGAGTGTCCTGGTGAGATCTGGACAAGTGTGTACCCAGGCCTCACCTCTCCACACACTGAGCCAGCAGTCCTGCAGTAGACAGGGTGCTCTGCACATGGGACAGCCAGCGGGAGCTCTCCAGACGACTCAGCCAGCGATCCACACCCTGCCACTGATCACTGCAGGCTTCCACCAGTTTGACAAAGGCCTCCAGAAGCGGCTTCCCTCTGCAGAGAGCAAAAAGAGAATGGATAAGGAACACCTCTCTGATGCAGCCTTACTCCTCTGGGTGGGGGTGGAGCCTCGTGACTGGGCCATACCTCTCCAGATTATGGTGGAGCCTCTTCCAATGGCTATAGTTGGCCTTGGATTCGAACCCTCCACCGATCACTCGAGCCTGCTGAGCCAGCTGTGCCGAACGAGTGTCAATGATGTATCCTTGGGGTAAGCCGTCAATCACAGCATGGAGCAGGGACTCATCCTCTTTGGAGCGCTTCCTATTGGCCCCCTGCAGAGGCTGACTGCTGCGCATGATCACCTAGGAGACATCGTGCCATCCCAGAGACCTGTAAGGCTGCTGCGGGCTTAGGTGAGCAAACGGTCCTGTAGTTAGCGATGTGGCAGGCTGAGAAAGGGCAGGCCTGTAGGGGAGCCCATGCCTGCACCGTGCTTGTGATTGGTCATCTTACTGCAAGCGTGTGATTGGTCATCTTACTGTGTGCACTGCTGCCTTTGTATTATTGTGTGCTTTAGTGTCCTTGGCCGTGCCTGTGGGTGTGTGTTTGCTTACACCTACATATCCGTCTGATTCAGGGTGTGTGTGTGTGTGGTGGGGGGTCAGATATATGATACATTGTGGGGACCAAATGTCCCAGCAGTGTGATAAAAACCTTTTATTTTGACGTTGTGGGGACCATTTTTTGGTCCCCACAAGGGGAAATTCAGTTTTATAAAAATCTGTGACTGCATTCAAAAAATGAAAAATGCAGAAAGACTTGCATTTTGTTTGGTTACTTATGGTTAAGGTTGTCTTTGCTAGGATGAGGGTTTTGCCCTTAGAAATGAATGGATGGTTCCCACAAAGATATGAGTACAGGTCTGTGTATGTGTGTGTATATCTCTCACCATGTTGTTCGGTCTGTGGTAGTAGCAGAGGACGGGAAATCTGCCACCCTGCCGGAACCTGGCAACCTTCCTCAAGGTATTGTCATCGACAGTCTGCGGCACGATGACAGCAGGGGGATAGGAGAGACAGACCGAATAATCCCTGTTCACCTCCGACAGCCGCCACCTTCCAGTCTGGGGGGGACAAGCACAGCCGCCATCAACATCCTCCTGCTGTCTTCATGGGCAAGCAGAGAGGAAACTGATAATACAAACTAGTTAAGAAATTTATATTTCACTTTATTACACAGCATCGTTCTTCAAACGGCAGCAACTGCAATCTCTAAACATCAGCCCTCCTCTGTCTGCAGCTGACCCCAGGTAAGTGAAGTCTGGCAGAGGGTGGCTCCTGCCTGTACTGCTGTCCTCTCCTCGCAGTCTAAAAGACGCCCCCACGGCACTTCCTCTTCCTCCTCTGCCACTTCCTGTCTCATTCTGCAGGGTGGCTGTACTGGAAATGCATCTACCTTTTCACGTGTTCATCTTGATTCCAAAAGGGCTGTTTGCCAGCACGTCTGGGGGCTCACCTGTGCACTGAGCTCCGCAAAGTCTTGTACTGGCAAAGACAGTCCCCAGGGGTCCTTCAGACTGAGGTGGGAGGGTCTGTAGTAGAATGGGTATAGATCCGTCACAGTGTCCAGGGAGGAAAGGGCCTGCAAAGACAGGGGATGCCTTAGAGACTGGGTGTCCCTTAGAGACAGGGTGTCCCTCAGAGACAGGGTGTCCCTCAGAGACAGGGTGTCCCTCAGAGACAGGGGATGCCTCAGAGACAGGGTGTCCTTAGAGACAGGGGATGCCTCAGAGACAGGGTGTCCCTTAGAGACAGGACATCCCTTGGAGACGGGGGGTGCCTCAGAGACAGGGCATCCCTTAGAGACAGGGCATCCCTTAAGCCTAGTTCATACTTCAATTTTCCCCATGCACTTTCTGGCTGCGGATGGTCATCTGCGCGGCAGCTTGTATTCATACTACATTCGGCTGTAGAATCGGATGGTTGCAGTCCGTGCTGCATGAGGGCAGATACAAGTACAGGCAGTATCGTAATACGAGTAAACTTTTATGAACAGTTTTAAAGTTGTTAGTCAAGGCTTGGGCGGTATATTGGTAATAAGGCACGCCCCAGTACTTTGAAATCCTTACAACAAAATTAGCCGAAACCCCAACCCCCCTCATTGGCTCGACAAATTTATATCGGAATAGTGTTGTTTTTAAAATACTGTATGCCTCGGTATAATGTCTGGCCATTAGATGGGTGGGTACCTCCGACCCCCCCATACAGCTGCTCACCATAACGACCTGTAACAACTATCCTTCCTCTACTCTTTCATCATTGACTGCTAATCTGTGAAAGTCCTCGCTGCCGCCTACTGGATATTGGCTAATCAGTTATCTTTCACATGTGCTGTCGATGTGCACAAAAGCCCAAGGTTTCCGCTACACAGTAAAACCTGGGCACCGACAGCAGCCGTCCGCACCCAACCCCAGATGACGAAATTTACGTCAGTTTCCCTTATTCGCAACCGAAAACAGATGCAGAAAAGTCATGTGTGAACTGGCCTTTAGAGGCAGGGCGTCCCTTTGAAGTAGGATGTTCCTTAGAGGGTGGTTACATGGTGTCCATGCATGGTTTCAGGCTGGGGGACATACCTCAATGGAGCTGGCGACATTCAGACACTCCTCCATGCCTGGAATGTCCAGCTGCAGAATCCGCAAGTCCTTGCACTTAACAGTGATGGTTCCAGATGACTCGATGGCCCTTTACATAGAGCAGACACAATGGTCAGTGCTACCCACAGTGCACTGGGCCACCTCTAACACAGATCCCATACCACACGTCACGGCGAGAGCAAGCATGAGAGTGCCCCAAGCATGTCCCATGTGCTGCTCCTGTCAGCCTGGCCTGCTCGGTAGGGGAAACATGTGTTCGCAACCTCCAGCTACCTGCTTCCGGATGAAAGGCGGCAACTTGCTGGTGGCCAGACGGGCTACTCAAGGCAGCGGGGTAGTAAATACTTGGCAAAAGCCTTTTCTTGTCAAAGAGCAGAGCCAGTTAAAAGATATTGGATGGCTGGGGGGGTGGGGGTGGGGGTACTACAAGCCCGCTTATTCAGCGTCAGCCACATGGGCTTCGTCCGGCACAGGTGGAGAGGCAGGCAGGCAGGCAAGCAGGCAGGCAGGCGGGCGAGTGAGCGAGCGTTCCACCGTCCTTGTCCTCGGAGACTCTCGGGCACACAGGCAAAAGCAAAGCAAATTGTCCCTGTGTGGCACACAGCAAGCAGGCCCGGGAAGACCACACGCACAGCCCCATGTGCCAAACCTGTCACGCTGGCTCCATGCACTTAAGCGCAGGCCTGAGAACTCCATCAGGTTCTCCACACTGCTAAGAGGAGAAACAGCAGGGCAGTCAGGGGGGGGGGCACCCCGGCAGTGTCATGGCATCTCCATGCAGTTTGAGGCCATCGGGACAGCTCTCAATCTGTTATCTCCTTCAGGAGTGCGGGAGATGCAGGTGCAGATCAAGTCGAGCTTCTTTGTGGTTTAAGCAGGATCCCCCTTATGTCACAGCTCTCTAACTATGATAAATCACCAAATAAAGTGATCAGACTCTGCTTATAGGATTTGTGATTCCGAACAGCTGCGCTTTATTAAGAAATACCAATAATAGGCTATTTAGCTTACTATGGGGGTACCGCGACCTTGCACGACAAAAGCGTCTTGGTCAAGTGCCGTAGCCGGAGCAGAAGCGACTCTACTCGCCTTTTCTCGACGGCGTCGATGTTCCGGAGCAAAAGTAGAAGCTGTGCGGTGCTGTCGCCGTCCCTGCCGAACAACAACAGGTGGTGTCCGGTCACACACAGCGTCCCCTTCAGCGACGCTTCGAGCTGCTGTGTGAGGACCACGTTTTCTACGTTGGCGGTCTTGATATGCTCGGCGAACTCCATCAGCAACGAGTCGGAGCGATGGATGTCAGGGAGTTATGGTGACCGAGCGTCGGCCGTGGCGGGGCGCCGCCCTGCGGCTCTCAGAGGTGACACTCGTACCGTCAGCCGGATGCAGCCGCGCTCTCGGCGGCTCTCGCTTTCGCTTTCATGTACAGGATGTTAAGTTGAGTAACAACTCAACAAGCAAGCGCTTCTCCTGTTTCACAAATGACCGTTTCCGTTTGCTGACCAGTTAAAGCTTCGTCAATCAGTTTTAGGAGCAGACCTGCTCCTGCACGGTCTGTGACCGTTAACTTCATTACCAGCGTTTTAGTCATCTGACCAAAATGAACATAAAAAACCCACACCTATCTGAACCAGCGTTTATGCTGTTTATGGACTCATGTTATGTGGGATTTCATGCCAGAAAATTCGGTAAATTCGTTTTCTTGGGTCTCATAAAACGCGGTTATAACGATCATTTTGAACGAACCGGTATTTGCCATCACCTAGGGCGTGCCAGAAGTTAAACATGAGGTATTTCTGTATAAGTGTTTCTATTCGGAAGGTTCAAAAATACTAGGCCAATATAAAAAAATAATACATTTTAAGACTGTGATGTTTGGAGAAGCTCCCGGGAACGCCTGCAGGTGGCGTTACATACTCAAAATGCCGATATTTCCGCATGAAACACTTATCATAATAATTGACGCTGTGATGTGAACGAGCAGTAGCGGTTTTCCCGTCGTCACCGCCGCTGTCATCATCGCACATTGCGCTCCCAGAAACAGGCCCGTAGCTGCACTTGTGACTATGGAAGTAGAGCTTAGATCGGGCCCAAAAAATTAAACCCGACCCTACCCGAGCCCGTGCACCTTGTGTCCGAGCCCGACCCGGTCCGACACATTAACTGTAATTATGAGCCCGAGCCCGATTTAAACCCGACTATTTTTTAATACGTGAGCCGTTGTAACAGACGTTCTCAACTACAATTCTAAGTTGTTTGAACTACAGA